TAAAAAATTATTTTTGATATTAAAATATTTATTTTTTATTTAATAATTTATATTTTACCATATGACACGATTTAAAATACAAAACAGTTTTTTTTCTTTTTTGTAAAATTCTTTTCTTTTCTGATTAAGAAAGCAAACCACACTCCAAAATCCAAATTAATAAACCCATCGAACGGCCAAAACTGGCCTGGGGTGACACCGATACATCTTAACCGTCGATTCTATTAGGTTGTGTACGGGAGTCAATCCTACGTGGCATACACGTCGGACAATTCGGTCCAATGCATCGGTGGAGATCGGACGGCGGTGGATGGGTGGGGAAGAACAGACACCGTCGATTCAGGGGTGACGTGAGACGGGATTCGTGTATAAATGTGAGGAGAGAGAAAGGATAAAGAAGAGGGACCGTTTTTGTTTGGAGTATTTAAAAGCATATAAACCAGAGAGGAGGCTTCGGATTTTTCGTCTTTTGGGAGTTTGTGAGGGAAAAGAGAAAAGGAAGAAGAGACTGAGCTTCATACTCTGAATCAATCTGTCACCGTAGCAGAGGATTCCCATGGAGAATTTCGAAGGTTGTTTCCTAAAATTTCTTATTGATTTCCTGTTTCGCTTCATTTCCACATTTTCAGATGATTTCCCGTTGCTCTCTGCTTCTTTTCTAGCTGTTAATGGCGGTTTCCGGTCACTAAACGAGAGATTTCGAATTCGGAGTTGGTTTTCCTTTTTGTTCAGATTCATTTTGATTGAGTTTTTTCTGCCTACATTTTGAGTTTTTTTTTTTTTAAAAAAATTCATTATGTGTTTGGATTGGTTGAAAGGAAAATTCGCCGAATTGATGACTTTCTCACTAACTCCAGTTTTTAATGAGTAAGATCTAGCATGATTTTCCAGGAAAATTTTCAGAGCTTTTCCTCGCTGTACTTTTAGTATGTTTTAGTGTGTGTGTTTGGCTTGCATTTCTCTTTTCTTTTTTCTTTTTTGCTTTATTTCACGAAGAACCTGATTCTCTGAACACGAGGAATGAATTACTTTTGTCCTTTCTTTTATCAATCTCTCACTTTGCTTGCCTTTTGTCTCTCCTCTCCTCTCGCCTTCCCTCTTTCTCTCTACGCCATATGTGTGTGTGTGTTTTCTTTTTCCTTCGGAGATCCGTTTGCGTTCTTTCTCACTCAAACTCAGAGAGAAGCAGAGAGGTATCTGGTAACCAAATTTAATTTTCTTTTTCGCTGAATACACCAAAACCTAAAGAACTCATTGTTTCCTCTTCAAATTAAACTTCTATTTTACTAATTTTTACTAGTTTTTACAAATTTCCCTTTTTAGATTGGACAAGTGCTTCTCTGACTCTGTTTCTTTTCCTTTTTTCTTAATGGAACTTGGACAAACTCTCAGACTGGAAAGAGAAAGAGCAAAGAAAAATCTAGTTTTAGCATTTTTAGGCGTTTAATGAGAGGTAAATTTGGATCCATTTTTTTAAACCACCGAAGCTGTTATCAAGAGTGCTGGATGTTATTAGTCTTATAATGGACAAGAGAGAAGACACAAGGCGTGGAGCTAGTCGGTTCTCGCAACAGATTAATAAGCAATCTGGACAGAGGCTCCTCTCCGGTGAATTTACTCATAACTCCATTCTTGCTCTTGTCCTTTTCCATACATTCCTTTTTTTTTTTTTTCTTCTTAAATTGCTAATATAAGAGTGAACGGATAATGCCAGCCTCTTGTTCATCTTATTTCTTGTTTTGTTGGCTTGCCTGTTTGTGTTTGCATGTTTCGATTCGCAGGATTCGATGGTGTTGCTGGGAACTTTGTATCTTTGGAGAAATCGAAGAAAGAGAAAGTTAGAAAACGGGGTGCTGTCAATGGTAGAGGAAGTCTGAACAAGGAAGAGTCTGAAATGGGTTGTTCTGATTTGTCTGATAGAGAAAACGAATGTCCCTCGCAATCGCATTCCATCGTCAGGAATGGTGCCAGCAAGAGATTCAAGATCCCCAAAAAGGTGTATATTTTCAATCTTCAGACTCAGAAGAAACTGTGTTTTTTGGAGTTAATTTTCCTTGAATTGTGTGTTAAACTTCCTTCCTGATAACTTTTTGTTTATTTACAATTTTCTACAGTTTTTTGATGACCGTAATGTCGTGAATCATGCCTCTGTTCCGCGGAAGCTGCGTTCGGGTGAGTCATGTGTGTTTCGTGAATTGGAGATGGAAATTTTTTTTTATTATTAACGGAAAAATGATTATTTTCTGATTTAATTTTTATTTTTTAAAAAAAGAGCGAATTTACATTTTCGTTTTTCATTTTTAGTTTTGAGTTTAATTAATCAGTTGTTGGCCGGTCGTTTTAAAATTAAGTTGCATTTGATGGTTATGTTGCTGGGAAGTTCCCTGTTTGTTTTTGTTTTGAAACTTTGGATTGGAACCGAAGCAAAACAACTTTTTACTTTTTCTTTCTTTATATGAACGAAAGATTATGTTTTTCCGTTTTTCCTCTTTTTAATTTAACTTTATTTATTACGGTGATGCTGTGACTTTTATGGGGTGTATTCTTTCTTTCAAAATAATAATATACTGTATTTAGAACTTGACCTCTTTGTTCTGAAGTTTACTTTTTACAATGGAGATACTAAAGCTTTTTGTAAATCGCAAAGGGTTTTTTTTTTTTTTTTTTAATTTACAGTGAAAAGAAAAATTTAAGGTCCAAGGCAAAGGGCATCTCCATTGGCAAGCAGTTTGGCCTTGAATTGGGGATTGGTGTTAAGTCAATTTTGGTTGAATGAGATGTAAGGTTTGATAGAGGTTAATTTTTGGATATTTGGATTTGTCAATTACAGCCATGAAGAAGCGCAATATCAAATCTGTGTCCCCACCTCTGCCAGATTCAAAGAGACTGAACAATGTACCAGGAGGCGAAAAGGATGTTGTAAATAAGCGTAAACTGAATTTGGTTAGTCAGTCACTTCCATCTGTTAAGTTTAGTTATTGTTCTCTTAAAGTTGGAATATTAGTTTATGAAATTGGAATTTTTTTTGTAGAAAAAAAGTGATTTGGAATGGTCCAGGAAGCTGTCCGTTTCAGGGCCAATTACAAAAGATGAGGAAGAGGTTGTAGAGACCCTGTATGCTTTGGCAGGAATGTTCCCTGACAATGACACCGTTGATAAGAATAAATTAGATGGTGAATCGTTAGAAGGAAAACCTTCAGCTCCACAAGAGATGGTGGAAAGTGCTCCTAATGCAATTGAAGGTCTTCATCTGCATCTTACAATTTGAAATAACATTTTTGTTTTATCGTTCTGTTGTGGTTTGTTAAGTTGTATGTATTTATTATATTCTGCAGTTGAAAAAGATGCGAGTTCAGTGTGTCCCCCAGAAGCTGCTAAGGCAGTCCCTTCAGCTAATTTGGAAATTTCACCCAATGAAGCTGCTAAAATCAACTCTTTTAATGGAAGCAGTACTGAAGAGCAGCTTGATTTGCCTGACAACAAAAGGTTCCATATGGAACCTGATAGCTCCATCCCCCAAGTTAGTCTTAACACATCAATTTCTTTGCTGGCTAAGACTGAAAGTAGTGATAAAAAGCCACCAAGCATCCTAGGCAACTTTCATAGTTGGCTTGAACCAAGCTTGGAAACTGGGTGAGTAATTCAATTTCTATTCTCTTTTGTTTTCTAGCTTACTTTTTCGTCCTTTTTAATGTTTCCAATCCTTTGGCAGATTAAAACCACCCAAGCAACAACTGACCATACCTACTGAGAGAAAACAGGAGGTTGCAGTTGGGGTAAGCTTGATTTCTGAGTTAAAAGTAAGTCATTTTTGTTGATAGAGCTCCAAGTAATGCAAAAGCTTTGGGTCACTTTTAGGCTACGTCCATTGAAGTCCAGCTAGCACAAGAACATGTGATCAAGGAGACTAGAAAAAATGGTATGCTTTTCACTTGTTTAGGTGTCAGGGGCTTCTATTTCCACACTGGCTGCATGTAATTTGCCACTGCATATTAATTCCCTAATTTCCCTTGCATGGTGTATTCTCTTGTCCTCCACAGTGCCTCTTGGTGGTGGGAATCATGGTCCTTCAAAGTAATTCCTTTTCCTCTAGAACTTTTACTACCTGCTCTAACCATCTTTGTGGCCATTACTAATGTATTTATCTATTTCAGGTCTTCTGGTGCTAAAATTCCAGCGTGGCTGGATGCTGCCATTTGTCCCTCTAGGGCTAGTTCATCCAAAAATGCTACTTCGGCCGGAAAGGTATCTAGGACTTTTATGGTCAACTCTTGTTATGCTATAGTATGATTGCAGTTGCGACTTTCCAATATCTGCTATCAGTTTCCCCTGCAATATGCTTTTGTGCCCCTTTTGACTACATGATTCTATATGGTGGATGTCATGTACAGGTCTCTGAAGTCACCACATATAGAAACCCAATGAAGAGATGTGTTGCTCATGTTTATATTTGCCGTCTGATTCAGAGTTTACAGATGCCAGAGAGCAAAGACACCGTGCCTTTGGAGCATATTGACTTGAAACATCATGAAGGATTAAAGCATGCTGTTGTTATGCCACATAATGATTTCAATGGAGTTAGAAACGGTATAAATGGCACTCTATCTATCATTCTCACTAGCAATAGAAATCCAAATGAAGCTGGAAGTTGTAGTCAACCTCAGCACAAAAGGCTACGTCAGGATGAGCCACAGGATAATCAAGCATCAGGGATGCACACTTCACATAAGCAGGTAAGCTCAAGTTTTGTGATTACATGGGTCCTTTTTCTAATTTTCTGATCACTCTCTGGTTCCTGGCAGACTTATGATTTCTTGTCTCTGTCGGCTGGCGGAGGTGGCGAAGAAATTAAGAATAGTTCTAATAAAGGTGCAAACGCATTTGAAACATTGTCTCACCACCAATTTTCTTACCTTCATTCGCTTCCTCAACATCAGTCACTTCTGTGTTTCCCATTGCCCCAAGCTCGTTCTACCTCCTCTGCTTATTCAGATCAGTTTTCGATGGCTGCAGCATCAGCACAGCAGCAGGTTTGTAGCTTTTGACAATTTTCTCTAGCATGCTTGATTACACTTGTCAGTAGATTTACTTAAGAATCTTAACAATGAATAGCATTACAATCTCACTGAGGTTCTTTTGCCATTCCTCAACTATCTTCTTCTTCTTCTTCTTCTCTCTCTCTCTCTCTCTCTTTAATGACAGAACCTAATGTTCTGATTAATGTAGGGCCATCTACAGCTTCCTCCTTATCTTACGAGCCCCTTCTATGGCCCTTCTTATACAAGTCATCAAGGCTTGGCAAAACAACAGCCACAACAACTGCAGCAACGGCTTTTGGCAGCCCAATTTGCGGCTCAAATTCCAAGATGGAAATATGGGAAGCATGAGTCAGCTGCTCTGATACCCGGTGTTCATGCCATAATTCCTCCTTCCCCTTCATCATTGGATGCGCTGGGACCCAAGTACAGAACACTCCCTCAACATCAGCAGCCGTTAATGCCTATCCCTTCACCACTGCCCCACGCCAAGTTGAAAAGGCAAGACCACCATGTTCCTATTGTTTATGAAGAAACTGCCGCTGGATTTCGTGCAGCTGGTGCACTACCAATGGAGTTACTCTGCAATGAGCGCCTTTGAAGTTGGAAATGGTCCTACAATCAGTCAATTATGAGCTGCAGTTGCAATACACTTGCAATGCAAGGTAAAATTATTATTTTATTCTTTCATTCACGCTTGAGAATGCGGTCATCCGAGATATGGATTTAATCGACCACTCCATGTCCTTGGCAGAATGATAAGGCCTAGCCTAGCTGGTAATCAAGGTGCTAGAAGGAAAATCACTAGAACTTAGAAAAAGGGTTGATTTAATGAAAACTCTTTTCTAGTGACCATTTTCAGTTTTTCACCCACTTTATGGTGAAAGCTGCAAAAAGAAAGGTCCACTTTGTATTTACTTTGAGGAATTTTGATCCTCGCCTGTGTACGTCATCTACCCGAATTTATTCCGATATTAAATATTTTATTGACATCAGTGATCCTGCTTTTTCCAACCTGGGATCATGAAAATGCTCTTCTTAAGCTTTATATGGGAGGATCATTAGCAATGATAGGCTATCAATTCCTATCTATATATATATTCCCCCCAGAATAAACCATATTCGAGTATTGGAATTTGAGAAAATAAAGCTTGTTTTTCTTAAATCAAGGTGTTGGCCAAAAAAAAAGAAAAAAATCTCAAATCATGGCTGTCTTCTTGAGTGGCATGGTTAAAGATGAATTTTATTTACTTGGCTGAGAATTTTCTTTTTCTTCAAGAAATTGAAATAAACATATATTTGAAGTACCATAAGAACGATGAAAACATCGACAACCAATATTCCTCAAACAAAATATAATTGCATTACAAAATAATCACAAACAAGTTTCATGTATATTCTCTACCTAAACGGCAAATTCTGCCCATGACCTCCATTGAACGTTTCACAAACTGAAAAGAGTTTAAAGAGTGCTTCGGGTATTGAGTATTTTGATTTCTGACAAGAAAAGAATTGGCTGCGCAAAACAGACAAACACAATATGACAGTACAGCTAGGCAATAAGTGGCATGAAAATTTTACTCAGATGGCATTGGCATTTAATTATATAATCATCTTCATTCTAGCTTCTCCAGCTCCCCCATTCTCTCTATGATAGCCTGCAAGGTGCATCAAAGACAAGTTCTTTTATCAGTTTACAAGTTGCCTTTAAAAGTAAGCCAACTAGGGGATCAAATGTAGCAGCAAAACTACAAAAAGCATGCAAAAAATGGAGCAACTATGGCATCAGAGATCTGTTCATGATAAAGATGAGGAAGCAAAAAGAGAAGCTATAACTTATAACAATAAGAAAAAAGGTAGACGAGGTGACAACAAATTTACCATCATCAGAAACGTGTAAGCTCAGTTCCTAAAAGAATGAATAATTAAAAAGACCATTAAAAGTCTATAGAAAATTGCTTACCTTCTTGCTTGTTTCTTGAAGCTCTCCAGCAAGAATAAATTCGTCAAGTATCAGATAAACCTTCAAGAGTTTAAGAAAAGGACCATAAATAATTTTGGAGAGAAACACTACAAACAACGGAGCTAATGCAAATGGCAATTCATTTAAATTCACAGCAAGATCACTCTTTCTCAATAATCATAATGGCCATTGATGTTCTGACAATGTGGACATACAAAGGTTAACTTAATCAGCAGGGGATAAAGATCCCAATTCCCAAAGCATAATTTGAAAATGCTGCAATACAAGTGTTAATATCAGAATCTGTATACAAAACCAGTGGCAAGGTAAAAATCATTAAACCCTTGAACTGGCAGCTAACATTCATGGGTAGGATTATTACAATTATTCCCACAATGAAGATATAGATTTGAAAGATAACAACCAGAGACAAAGCATGATCACGTTACCTATGTCCAACTTAAATAGAGGAAGCACTACGAGCTAATTAACAGGAATTTGGGATAAACAGGATGGTAAGCACAAAATAACAGGCAATGGAGTGTGAAAAGAATTAGAGAATCTTGCAGCGTTTGAAGTTCAAGACGGTACTTAGGAAAACAGAATGAACTAGTCATGCATGAGTTCACGGGAATGATCGGAGGAGTTTGTGTACCTTGTGAAAATTAAAAACCAAGTCCAGCTCACAAACATTGCTGAAGAAATGGTCTAATATCTCCACAAATAAATGGATGCACTCCAAATATGCCAACTCATTATCCGTTATGTCGACACACAACGAGAAAAACAACCCAGCATATCTCCTGTAGATTACCTTGTGTGTTCGGAACTGTCAAACAACACATATATCATCAAATTGTCCGTGATGATACTTGCAACAATAACAGAAAACTAATAAATCATTCACCCAAAGCATAAGGAAATAATCAACATCTTGGTCCATGCTTCCATTTTTCCTATTCTATGTACATTTTCTCAGTAGCCAAGCAAAGCATAAGGAAATAACAAGAAAATAGGAAGAAATCGAAAAAATGTAAAGAGGAAATGGAAATTTCCAACCTCAACGAAGTTAGTGAACTTGGGATCTCTATTCACCACCAACCTATGAACCTGTAAACACAATCAAATTAACAACCCTAGCTAAAAATCCCTAAATTCTGCAATACTGAATAAAAAGACAAGGTAAATACTAAATACCTCGTATTCCACCTTGTGCTTCTCGGAATCCTCGAGAGGAACATAGTACTTTGCTAGACGAGTCTTCCCCTGCCTGTTCTGCAACAATATGAATCGGATCTGCGAAATCGAATGAACAACGAAGGGATTAAATCCCAGTTTCAACAAATTTTGACTTGAAAGAGATAAATTCAGCTAGAAATTCACAATACCATTGCGAAGAAAGATTACTGAATTACGCCAAAAAAGAAGAAGCAGAAAACAACCAATTATCTTCGCTTAGTTTCTGCTTCGGCGTTCGTCGCAGAGGGAGCTTTGAAGGTGACGACGTAATTGTGGGAAATAAATGGTGTTGAGATCTAGTTGGACCATTCAAATGAAGTTTAGGATCCATATTTGGCAATTGTAAGATCAGGACCCTAATTGGACCAAGTTTGAAATGTTCGGTCCTATCAATACAATTTACCCGGAAATGATTGACAAAGAAAAGGGTGCATTTATTTTTGGTAAAACGATATATGTTAAGGCCCTGAACTAAATCCAGATTTTCTATTGAAGACTAAAACTTTAATTGATGCAATTAAGCACTTAAACTCCACAATCTGAGCAATTTAGCCCTTATTCTTAGCGCAATTTAATTCTTATTCTTACGGTAGTCAAAGAATTAAGGGTTAAATTGCTTAGATTGTGGAGTTTAAGGGCTTATATGCATCAATAAAAGTTTGAGTCTTTAATAGCAACTCTAAGATTAGTTCAGGGGTTTAACATATGGTTTTGTCTTTTTTTCTTTTTCTTTTTTTCTGAAAAATAAGCAATGAAAAAATAAAAAACAGTGCATTTAATGTAAATTACCTTTGATGTTTTTCAGGTATGACTGCAACTAGACATTGAAATAACAATAATAAATTACATAGAGAAAATAGTTTTCAAAAAATTATTTTAGTAAATTTGTTATACAAATGGCACTTTTGTTGTACAAACCATATTGAAAAACACATTCATGATCTAAATTATACAAAGTTGTTTCAATTTTTTGGATTACAGTCTGCAGAAGCTGCTGAATTACAGTCTTATTCTCAATTTCGTTGCAAAATTTCAACTGCCTGGAGATTAAATTACATTTTTCAACAATCTAACTACGTGCTCTCCTAATAATCATGGCCATACTTGGAGTTTGTAGCAGCCAAGAGAGCAGCTCCAATACCAGAGCCATCTTTTGAATGTTCTATGATCACATTCTGGGATGTCTCAGTTCCTAGAAGTTCTGTGACTGCGTCTTGTATGTATCTTCTGTACTGGGGGTAGTGTTCATACAACCCTCCGTCCATGGCCACGACTGTCCGCTTGCCAAAGATAAGGCCTTCTGAGTCCTGCTCCATCTTTTGAAGAATCCCCACAATGCCAGCACCAGCTAAGCGTCCACCTCGCTTGACTATGGTGTCACAAACCTCCACAACCAACTTTCTTGAGTTTAGGTTGGACTCAACCTGATATCAAGATTGCAGGGAGAATTTTTGGGATGAATACATGTAAGTTGTTTCATGATTTTATCTCCCTTTTCAATATTTAATACAGAATTTCCTTGGAAGATGGAAGAAAAGGGTGAGAATTTACCCCAGCTACATCATATAGGATTGATCCAACAGCCTGAAGATCATCTGTGTTGTCCTTCTGCATTGCACATAAATCCTGGGTCCTACAAATTAGAGTGAGACTTAGATCAGTAAGAAGGTGAGGTGCTGTTAATTAATGAAGTTATTCCATTGTGGAGACTAGAGAGAAACATTTGAAAATAGAAAGATCAGTCTTGTATTTCCAAATAAGTGGGAAAATGGCATTTAGATCTTTCTGTTAGTTCCCAAACCAAAAAAAATCAATCCTTCTGTATGTACCAAATAATGTAGCCTGCGAAATGATCAACAAAGATTGAAGCAACTACTGAAATATAGACAAGAAATTCAATGTTCATATCCCATGAAAGTATAATTTCAAAATTTATGGACCTGTGAAAATGATTTTGCTGCTGAAGTTAACCCAAGTTCACCGCATGTCAAGCAATTCTATTTAGCGCTTGACCAATTTAGGACTTAGTTGACCCATTGAATTTGAGAAATCTTAGCTCTATGCAAAAGTGCATTTACCTGAGTATAAAAGGTGTGAATAACTTTTCTGGCACACAACTACCAAAAGCACCTTCTTCAGCCATTTTCAGCAGCACTCTGCGTACAATTTCACCAAGATACATTCCCGCAATTGTCTTCTCAAATATCTAACAACGAAATATGAACACAATACATTTATTTAGTTTCTATCAGACTAGTGGGATGGGATTAACATAAATTGAAACAATGTGGAGTTTTGAGTAGTGTACCTGCTCACCAGGATTGATGCTAGCAGCATCCATATCTCTATCAAACACAGTTAGAGGAAGGCCTTTCGAGAATGCCCCCCACTCAGTATTGATGATCTGCATAAAGGGAATTTCAGATTAATGCTTGAAACCTAAACTGTGGTACCAGAAAAATACCTAAAGAGAAAAGGGAAGGCACAATTATGCACCGTTCTTCCAGATGGAGAAAAACTGCCATGCAGTTTAGGGATAGAATCCATCCGTTCCACATAGCAAGCATTCGTTCCTGTACCCAAAATGACACCAACCATGACATCATCATCCCAGTACTTTGCCCCAGCAAATGTTCCCACTGCATCATTCACCTGATATGCTCAAATTAATCACAAAATGTTAGTCTATTTGTCTAGCTTTCTCAAGTAAGAAATTAAGACAAGTAAAGCATACCAGTGCTGAAACTTGCATATCCAATCCTTGCCTCTTCATAGCTTCATTCAGGCAAGCAACGACATCCTTTCCTGCCTGTAGAGAGTTCAACCAAACACCTATAAAATCAAAATCAGATTGAACCTCAAACAATAAGGAATAATGAATTTTGCTATTTGTGATATTAACAAGCTGATGGAATTAGAACACAAACTGTTCCCGAGACTGCAAAACCCTTAGTCCACTTGATCAGAATGCCAGAATCAATAGATGTCTGCTTCACTGGGAAAGAAAAAGTGAATCCAATCTCTCTTTTCCTTCCAGGAGACAGGTGAAAGTTTTCACCTTCCTGCTGTGTAAACTTTGCCAGCCCAGAAACAATGAAATCAAAAAGCTCCTACAGTCATGAATTGCTACAATCAGCGACAAGCAAATATAGAAATTGTTATTTTCCTAAACATTCTATCAAAAGCATACCTCAGAGGTACCGGACATGAGTTCTTGTGGGATGGAAACTTGCTCGAATTCAGTGGCGATCACACGCTCTTCCTTCCCACCTAGCTGCACCCTCAGCACCCGAAAGTTTGTCCCTCCAAGGTCCAATGCATAAAACAACCCTTTCTCATTCCTTCATCACATGCCAAGAACAAATCAACAAAATTAAATTAAAAAATTCAACATTTTGAGAATACAATTCTGTTTTCTGTTCTGGGTTCTAAATTCTCCAGCTACTCAACAGCACAGCGCATTACAGTTTTCAGATCATTGCATATAGAACAATAAAAAACAAAAGATTGCAGACCCACTATTCTACCTTTAATTATAAACAAACTAAAAAAGAACAGCACAAATAAACAGAAATAATAGATTGAATTGTAGAAAGACCGTGTCAAAGTCAAAGCAAAGGTACCCGGAGGGCAAACTATCAACGTAGCTGAGTATCATCTTGAGATCGCCGCCACCCTCAACGGAAAGACCGGCTCGCATATCAGCCGTCATCTCGTCCGCCACGCGTCGAAGAACTGGCAGAGGAGTAGCACACTCACTCTGTAGCTTAGTCAAGATCGGAGCCACAGAGACAACCCCAGATCGGACCACCATCTTAATCCTCGACACCCCCCTCCGGGATCGTCCGATACCGAACGATCCCACCACGGGCGGCAAAGTAGCAGTTGCGACAACCGACATTGTGGGTAAACAAGATCAAAGAAAAAGAAGAAGAAGAAAGAGGAAGTATTTCAGTATTTGTGAGGTTGAGAAAGAAAGTGTATTTCATTAATGAACTGTTAGGTTGCAAATTAATTATAAAAAGAAAAAAGGGAAAAATTTTGGATCCCGTAGTATTAACGGAATAACCACCTAACGGTTTTTTTCTTCACCTTCCGGCCGGTGGTGGATATGGGCGGACAGGACGGTGTTGAAATAGACAGAATATCTATGTTTTGTTCTTTCTTGCTCGGAAAATTCAATGTTTTGGGATGCTCTATTGTGCGCTTTGGTTGTAGAATCCACGAAATGTGGTACTAATCTATCATTATTCACCATTTTTCGATGTTTCCAACAATTAAATCTCATTTTGTTGGA